CGCTCCGCAGGCGCCGCACGGCCGGCCGCGAGCGCGGGGCGGCCCCAGCGTCCCGCACTCCCCCGGCCCCGCCACTCCCCGGCTGGCCGGAGCTCTCCCCAAAGACCCGCGGACGCGTAATCTGAACATTGGAAAAACCAACGACAACAACAAAGTGGTTTTAAAAAGAAGCGGGGCGACCTGGGAGCGCCTCTCCCAGTCCGCCGCGCCCCTCTGCCCCTTACCTCTCCCCCTCTCTGGAGCTCTCCCGGTCTGTCCCTCGCCCTCCCCTTCCTCCCCCTCCACCCCTCCCCTCCCTCCCAACCCCCCGGCAGCCCTTCTCCCCATCCTTTCTTAAACGCTCCTCTAAGTTCACGATCAAAGTTAATATCGCCCGCAATGGTGGCACTTTTAAAAATTTCACAGACCGAGGGAGATAGCGGAGAAGGGGGGCTCGCCCGGCTTTTCCAAAGAGCCCCTTTCCCTCCCTCCCACCCTTCTCCATCGTAAAAAGTCGAGTCGTCGGGAGAGAGGGCTTTGTAGGTTATAATAAAATCCTTTGAATGCTTATAAAACTCCACATAAAATCGGACTGACCCAAAACACGAGGCTGTCCGCGCTCCCCTGGCCTCCCTCCCTTCTGCAGCCCTCCCTCCGCGCGCCCTCCCTCGCTGCCCTCGGGTTCCCCGCCGCCGCTACCTACTGGGGGCGGCTCCCTTGGCCGGCTCCTTGGCCGCCGAGTGCGCAGAGCCGGACGAGCTGGGGTTGGTGTTCTCCTCCTCGGCCTCGGCCTCGGCGCCGGCCTCTGCCCGGGACGCGAGTCCCGAGGCCGGGGGCGCCTCGGGCTCCCCCTTGGCCTCGCCCTTGCCGGAGCAGGGGGCCTCGGCAGGCGCGTCCCCGCCGCCGCAGTAGGCGTTGTCGAAGAAGCGGTCGAAGGCTTGGGGCAGGACGCTGTTCTTGTTGACGGAGGGGTAGAAGCCGGCGGGGGCCGCGTGCGGGGCGTTGGGGTGGTGGTGGCCGCCGTAGGAGCCTTCGTTTTTCATGAGGATCTCAGTGACTGTGGAAGGAGGCAGGCACTCGCGGTGCATGAGCTCGTCGGCCGCCGCATAGCAGGAGGAGTAGCTGTTCCGGTGGTGCCACTTGCCGGACGGCTCCAGGCCGTAGGAGACCTCCCGGACCGGGGGCACTTGGGCTGAGTAGGGGTAGGAGATTTGGCGAGAGGGGGCCTGGGGCAGGAAGGAGGAAACGGTGGAGAACTCGGGCACGTAGTAAGTGCAACTGGGCAGGTAGAGGTTGGAGGCGCAGCTCCCTCGCTCGCCGAAGTCAGCGCCCCTCTCCTTGCGGGAAGGCGAGCAGAAGTTGCCCAGGTTGACCGAGTTAAACATCGTTCTCCGCTCCTGCCTCCTCCGGCTGGAGGTTTTAGACCCGGTCTAGTGAGGGGGGAAATTTTGGGAAGGCGAGATGACGCGTTATCCGTCTTAGTCTCTCTCCCCGAGCACGTGATCCAAAGTAGATATTGTCATATATCAGTCCGGAGCACTTCGCAGACGTAGGAGGGGTTCTCTCTTAGGTAAGGTCGGGGACGTTCAGGCGATTGGTTTGCAAACACCGCAGAAACATTATGAAAATCAATTGCAGATTTGTATTCGTTTTTCTCTCGTCACTCCCCTCCTCTCCATTCCACAGAGCCGGCAAAGGAGGGGAGAGAGCTTGGGGTGGGGAGGGCGGTGGGAGGGGCGGGGGCGGGGGCTGGGAGGGGGTAATTGTATATTTTTTTCCTAGCTGCTCTTTTCCCCCTAGGATTGGGGGAAGGAGAGGGTTTTCCGTTTACGGGTCTGGTCTCTTCCTTATGGTCAGCGATAGGCTGAGGATAAGAGGAAGGACTTTTTCCTACCTGATTTCCCCAGGAATATTGGGTCCTTCCCCTCAAGTCTCAGGGACTCTCACCCCTCTACCTGAAGAATCAGCTCGTGTACAAGAGTTTGAAGAAGTACTTTACATTATTTTCCTGGCCAGAGCAGGGAGTACCTTTACAAGACAGGTTCCCAGGAAGAGTATTTGAAGTGTCCCAAAGGTGAGCAGCCCAGCTCCGAGCCAGTGTCCCAACTTTGCGTAGCTCACTGTGCTGCCACTGGCGAGGGACTCCAATTAGTCATAAAACAGTGGTGAGCAATGCGCCAGCCGCCCAGCCGGTGCCTGGTGAAGTCTGGGAAAAGCCTCCTCTAATGTCGTGTTAAATATTTAGTATGAGAGAGTGGTCCTGGGTGACTATTTCATGCCTGCCTTTATTGTCAATCAATGTGCAGAGAGCTACATCCACTGTGGAGTTTAAAACCCCAAACCCCAAAGAAAAAGATTAGAATGAGAGTCGTGTGTCTTCTCTATCTGGGGCCCTTCGCGTTGGGAGCTCAGCTTCAGCTGGCAGGCTGAAGGGAAGTCCAGGAAGGATATGCTAAGGGAACTAAATTTGGGGGGCCTATTTTAAAAATGATTTGGGGAGCTTAGGTGGGTAGGGAAGGCAGGCGCTTATCTCTAGCATCAATCAAGAAGGTGGAATGCAACCGTGGTCACCACCAGGTGGGCAGGGCGAGCTCGCTGCCCCCCCCTCACTGCCTGTCCAGCACCCCCACTACTCAGCCCAGCCCTCCCCTGCTCCACATCTGTGAGCCTCCTCCCTGGGCTGCCTGTCCAGAGGGGTGCTCCCTTTGCCCATTACAGCATACATCTGGGCAGCTGAAAATAATTTTATGGAAAGGTTCTGGGCTGAGTCCATGGGGGCAGAACAACTGGCAGGAGCAGAAAGTAACAGGAGCCTTGGTCCCAAGGAGTTGTCAGAACATAAGGTGTTAGAGAAGAGTGAAGCCTCCAACAACTCAGCCCTGTACTCTTAGGAAAGACCAAAAGCAGCCCAAACTGTCTTCCCACCCTTCAGGCTGCCTTCAGAATGGTTTTCCTCGAATGGTTTTTCCTCGAATGGTTTTCAGTCTGCTTGATTTGATTTTCTTTGTCAAAGGGCGAAGCTCTGAAACCCTCAGTCAGACAGGGAGGGCACAGGGTAGCTTATCTCCAAATATAGCATCCCAAAGCCATTCCTCCCGACTCTTCTACCTGTCCAAATTTACTCAGCTTGTAGATCAACACTTCTCGGTGGACTCTGCCTCCACCATGGTCTCATTCTGGCGTGGTGTGTGTGTGTGTATGTGTGTGTGTGTGTGTGTGTGTGTGTGATACTGCAAGGGAGACTCCCAGTGCCTCTCTATGTACGCAAGTGCACACGTGTGAGGCATTTCTTCTGTGCTCCTTCGTTCTGGTCAGATCTTAACGGAAGGCCAGTAACCAGATTGGGGCATCTCTGTGGAGAAGGAACAAAAAAACAGAACTCTGTTGCACTTTCCCTTTTCTTTAGTCTGTTTTTTAGAGGAGGGGCTGGGGGTAGCATTTCTAATTATAATTGTGGGGAACTGTAGACTGTGTCTTTATGGGTTTGCACTGACCTCATTAACCGTTCATTTACTGGAGGCAAAATGCTCCCCAAACAGTGACAGAAGCCAGCAAGAGAAAGGCCAAAGGTACCACATCTCTTGCTGAGATGAGAGTGGTCCAAGCTCCCGTTTTCCCCAGTTTCCATTAGGTTCTTCTTCCTTCTTCCTCTTGATCTCCTGAGCAGTGTGGGGCCCAGTCCCCTAAGTCCTGCTTTGCACAGCCGGGGGGGGGGGTGGGGGGGGGGGTGTCTGCTTCCTGTGAGAAGACAGCTGTGGGCCTGAGCACTTGAATTTGACCACCAGAGTTTAGTCCTGGGCCACCATAAAAGTGAGGCCGGCAGCTGCAGAGAGCAGTTGATTTTCTTGAAACTGAAAGAAGGAAGGCAAAGGAGAGCCTTGAGGACATGCTGTCTAGGAAGGGTCATGGCCCTCCAACAGAAACTTGTAGGAAGGAATATTCTCCATAAAATCTCCATTAAAGCAAAGCTTGAAGTTTACTTTTTTTTTTTTCTAGCGTTGATCTTTCAAAATTTTAAAAACAACTTAAAAAAGAAAAACTTAGCAACAGGTAATTGCTGCTGGGGTCACGGAGAGAAAGCCCTGGTTCTGAGGTCATTAGCTGTTGATTAGTAAAAATGCTGGGGGGAGGAAGGGGTGGAGAACTGGCTGGCCTGACTGGCTTTGGGTTCAGACCACCTGGAAGTCGCTGTCTGCAGCTTCTGGTCGCTGAGTCCTTTACATTTGTGCAGAAGGACACATCTGTGCCCCCAGTCCCATCCCTCGAAGGGTCTGCTGAAGGCAGCTGTCACTATTATTATTATTATTATTATTATTATTATTATTATTATTATTGTATTCTATGATATTCCTCACCTGGTTTGTGCCATTTCTCCATCTGCCTAGAGTTCCAGCTTTCACCTAAATACTTCCTGTGAAAGTCATCCAGCCGTTGGCCGGTTTGGTGGCCTCGCTCCCTGCTAGCTTGGCCTGTAGCAGGCCTCTGCGGTCTGGGCTGCTGCTGCCTCGGTGGTCTGCTGGAGCTAGGCCGGACTCCAGAGGCCTTCCCTCCCACACAGGGATGACAGGGCCGGATTCAGAAGGGGGCACTGTCCACTGAACCCTGTCCTGGGCCGTTCCTAGAGCCTCCTGCAGAGCTCAGGCACCCTATAGATCCTTTTCCTCTTTATCCTTTCCTCAATTCTAGAGAGAGTTCTTGAGAAGAGAAAGAGAGCACCCCACAGTCTGTGAACTGGGAAGAAAACACGGGGGGGGGGAGAAGGAGGCCTTAAATTCAGCTTCTTTTGGAGTCAATAAAAAGAAGGAAGTCCTACACCCGTTCCCGGGCTGGACTGCTGAAGAAGGGCTCTCAATTAGAACAGCACCAATCTTCCTGCGAATCTTTCTTTCCCTTAGCAGCAATGTGGAGGCATTGAAGAAAGCCTTCAGCGTGCTTTGGGATTTTCAAGCTAGAGGACGTCCAGACCTCGCCCTGTCCTTAGAGATCCAGAATGCGTGGGGCCGCCCGTTTTCGCCTCAGCGCTGGTCAGCGCTGCAAGCCCGAGGCTTCAGGTTGGGCCACCGAAAAGGGTGGACCTACTGGTGCAACCCAGGGCCTATGGAGCAAGGTAGGGGGAGCAAAGAGCAGAGCCGGCGGCCTCCCCGCCCCCGCCGCCCCACCCAGCTTCCTCCGCGGAGGGCTGTCCCCGGAGGCTAGCAATGCGACCCCTTTTCTCCCATAAAAGCCCCATTTTATGAGCCAGTTTCACCACCACCCCCAAAACATGCTCTAAAATGAAGGACATGTCTTAAGAGCAGTCTGGAGATGGAGCCGCTGCCATGGGCCCTTAGTTTCCGAAGCTAGCTGCGACTCCACAGAAAGTACCTTTTCTGGGGGAGAGTGTTCCCTTGGGCCACCGGGTCGCCCGCCTCGCTGCGGAGCCGGTTGGCCGGTGCCGCCATTCCCCGGACTCAGTCCCCGCTGATCAAAGTGAGCTAGCGGCATTTTTATGAGATCAACCTCAGTGGCTCCTTACTTGTAATCAGATGCCCGGGTCGAAAATGCAAAAGGGAACAGCTCTCGTCATTCCAAAATGGAAAGAGAGAGAGAGGGGAGAGAGAGAGAGAGAGAGAGAGAGAGAGAGAGAGAGAGACTAAGGTGACACAGAAGATCCTGATCGCCCCCAGCAGTGGTTGCCGGATCTACCCCAGCGTCCAGGCCTTCTGCCTAGGCATTAGCCCGACTTCCGAGCCTTAATGCCAAGGCGGGCAGAGAGGAGCCCTGACCAGTCTGTGCTAGGAGACTCCATTGCGAAGCTTCCACAGTGGGCGGCCTTGCGTGGGCTCGCCTTACGGTGGCCTAGGACTGCAGGGGGAGGCCGCCTTCCCGGCGCTTTAGGCCGCCCCCCTCTTGCTGCTTTCCTCGGCGTCTCCGTGGTTCTTTCTTCACTACAGAAGTTGAGTTACAGGAAGATTCGCCAGAGATTTATCGCCTGGCCCCAAACTTGGAGAGCCGCGTTGTCATAAACAGCCGTCTATTGTCTAGACTTTTATCTCCGGGTATGGATCTGGGTCTCGCATTAGTGAGGCTCAGGGGATACGGACTGTCTCCGCGGTGGGCGCAGTGCAGCCGGTGCCTGCAGGAGATCACTGGGGATTTGTTTGGGGCAGTTTAGAAACATGGACAAATTTGTTCTTGGAGCTGTGCAGGTAAACCTAAGTATCCGCGGTGGAGGCCCGAGGTGGAAAGGTTTGTTTCTCTCTCTGCGTGGGAATATTCTGGCGCGTGTACTTGTGTGTTGGTGAGGATTTGTCATGGTGTGCTTTGTTCTGGGCATTTTAAGTGTTCCTGTCTGGGCTTTTTCGGGTTTTATTAACCTGCATCCGCTCGGTCGGTTTATGTCCCT